GTGACAGGAAACTTGGTCATTAAGTGAAGGCATCATTAAATGAAAATCAAGTGGATGCAATTGTTGAACTGAGCTTCTTTCTCTTTGGGAATAATTTGTTATGAGGTAAACAAACAAATGAAAATAAGAGCAGAGATGCTGTGAAAGTCATGAATTTGAGGAATGGTTTCTAAGTTGTTGTTTTTTAGCACTGTCATAAGTTCAAATAGTCACTAATAAACAAGGCAGTCACTAAGTGAGATTACTTGTATTCACCTCAATGTCCTTTTGTATCCTTCTCAGCTTTTTCTATCTGGAAAACGTCCACGGAAAAATTTGCTTAGAACTGAGTAGAAGGGGGAAAAAAGCTTTCAAATTTCTTTGCCAGTTTGTCAGCAGCAAGAAATGAATAAAGATTTTCTCCAATGGAGGAATGGTACTCCAGCCATATGATAATAGTTCCTCTGGGAGGAAACCCTCCCCCAGCATTTTAATGTCTTGCCCTTAGACTTAATTAAACTATGGGAATCTAGAGATACTAAAAACTGCTGTAGAGGTGAATGTACAATAAATCATATCCTTTGGCCATTTTGTAGATGAAAGACGACAGACCTGAGAGTTTGTGAATTTACCTTTCATCAGGGGAAAAATGCCAAATGATTTCCTAAATAACAGAATGGATAAAATATATTAATGGAAATTGGAAAACAAACTTGGGGTAAAAATCTTTCTTCTGAAAAAGAAATTTGATGAGAGGGATTAGTACCGGTATTCTCCTTCACCCTAATATGGATTAGACTACTTTGACATTTCTTTTTGAAATGCAAAGTGGAGTTTTACAACATGTATGTTATCTATTAAGCAGTTTTCTCTTCACTTGCACACTGTTCAATGCATCCCTGTAAATTTCACTATTTTTCTTTTTTTTAATTTAATACAAATCTCCTAAAATCTATTTTTTTCCATCAAATAAAAATGAAGGTAAGAAAATACGAAAGAGATCAGCATTGGCTAAAATACATAAGATAGGGTGAATGCTGAGTATTACTTTTCTAAATTGCTTTCCAATTTTGAAATTACTGATAGTAACTTGGAAGTGCAGTGCACTTTCTTGTGCCACTATATATCACTTTGTCTTTTGTTGTATCCTATTCATTTCTGATCATAGCACTGTAGCTATTTCCAATGAAAGGAATAAGCAAAACACACACTTTTGTAAGTTTTCTATTACGTTGTCCAAAATCTCTTTCTTGGGTAGCTACATGGGTAGCTGTATAGATAGATAGGTGATAGATAGATAGATAGATAGATAGATAGATAGATAGATAGATAGATAGATGTAATGATTACACCTAATGTTGTACCTGAATTAACATAATAATTCAAATAACAATTTGGCAAATGTACAATGGATTTCTAAAGAAAAGGGTTTTATTAGGAATGATTTTATTATGGTGGCCTAACCTTTTTAATTCAATGTCCAATTAAACTGTTTAAAATTTAGCTAAATAATATAATAGACAATAATATAATAACAATGTACATCAGTGGTTCTCAACCTGTGGGTCGGGACCCCATTTGGGGTCGAACGACCATTTCACGGGAGTCGCCAAACAATGCAGTCTGCCATTTTTCCCCCCTTTTCCTTAGCTGTGCTATTCCCTTTTATTCTATTGGATTTTGAAAGCCAGTAGAATAGACTCTCTTGAATAGAGTCTAATTCTATTGGCTTTCAAAAGCCAATAGGAATTGTCCAGGCTGTCTCTGACCTGCTGAGCGTGTCAAAAGTCCCATTCTGCAAATGGTGCTGCACCAGTTGAGTAGTCCTCGACTTACGACCGGTTGAGTAGTCCTCAACTTACGACCGGTTGGGGTCGTGGCATTAAAAGATTGAGAACCACTGATGTACATTATATTTAAAATTAGAAAATAATATAATAACAATGTACATTATATTTAAAATTTCTTTTCTTGGAAGAGTCAAGTATTCTGAATGTGTTAATGCAAGATGAAGGATATTTTTTTAATTTAATTTAAATGTTCATCCATGACAGCAGAGTGACTCTGGATGGCTAACAACACTTGAAAAAACAAATATAAAATATATAACTGGCAGCCAAGGTAAAAACCAATCAACAACAGTTAACATAACCTTCTTAGGGGCTCTAGCTATCAATCCAACCCCATGCATTTCACCAACTTTTTTATAAACACTAAACTTTCTGTGCCCTTTCACCTAGAGTATAGAAGAAAAAGTGATGTGGAAATTTCACACAGGAATGAAAAGAAAAACATGGTATAGAATTTAACAGAGCATAAGTTTATATCTGGATGTATTCATGAATCGAGGATGGAGTACTTATTTCCTGTTCATATTTTATTAAGGTTTTTGAAATAAAACTTGTTCAGAAACATGAAAGAAATGTGATTTTGGTAGATGTGAGGCATATCATTTTAAACTCTTGTTTTATCAAGCATGTCATAAGAATGTAGTATAGTTACAAATACTAGTGTGTGATAATTTGACACAGCCTCTGAAGAATTTGTGCTTGAGAGTTGGGTTTACACAGCACAATCTATCTCTTTCAATCATTTTCATTTCCCCAGATCAATGTACAAAAATGCACAGTGCATGTATATGAACAAGTTATGACAAGCAAATTAACATTTAAGGGAAATTGAGAAAAAACAGCTTTTTCTATTTTAAATTTCTAAAATAGCGAGAAAACAAGCAGCAGAAATAATAACACAAGAACAGAATAAAAATAAATCTATTTCGGTTATTTTACAAGTTTAGGACTCTCATCATTATTATCAATTTCACGCTTTAGTTTCAGTGAGTGTTTCATTTAACTCTGTGTAGCTAACCACATTCACTCAGAATACTTAGTTTACCCATGTTCTCTGGGTGTTAATATATGCTTTTACTTCACATATATAGGAACCTCTTTCTTTCTAGTTACTGTGGCTTTGGTAAAGCAGGCATAATGGCTGTGGCTTTGGTAAAGCAGGCATAATTCAGCAAAATGGTTTGATTAGGGCCTTTTAAAATTCTAGCTCCATGAGTGATGCAGTTATTCTAATTGGAAGGATCACATTTAAAACAAAAGAAGAACCTGTCCTCTCTACTATAGGAGACAGAGTCACCTTACTATATATTTTTTCAAAATTATCTAAAGGTCACAAGTAATCCTGGCTCTCCAAATACTAAAAAGTCCTCCCATAAATATTTGGGGACTTTAAATAAAAATGTCTTAAAATCTGTGTTCTTCCTTCTATCACGGTGGTTTCTCTTAAAAATAATTTCCCTTTACATCAAGGGAAGCAGTAATTTTCACCAATATGCTGAAAAATAATGGCAGCTATACTGTGATGCAGTTTTGATAGGATAAAAGTGATTTAGAGCCTGTGTAGGCATATACGTCATACCTGTCAGCTGCCCCCTGAAGGAAACTACAACTTTTCTTGAGCTTTGTAATCACAGAAAGGCTTGTTTGATTTAAGGATATCCTGACAAGTGTGATAAGCATCTCTACAAACACTGAAAATAACCCCCCTTTGTATCCAGATTGCCACAGATTGTTTCTGTGTGAACCATTACTGTGATCCATAAGAGATTTAATCTGTGAGTTAAGAACAATTTTTTAGTGATTAAAAGGGTCTCAGAGTTAATAGAATAAGACCAACAAGGTATGTACATCTTTTCTAATGAACATAGACATGGGTTATCATGTACTATTGCTTTTCATATACAGTGTTTTTCTGCTAATTTCATTTTATTGAGAACTTTGTTTCAGGGTCCAGATTTAGATTGGGATCTGGGAATGTTAGAGGACTGTAAGAAGTCTTTAATATTTACTGCATGCTGTGGTTCCAGTTCATATTAGGCTCTATGCTATTATAGTTTACATTGCCAGAAGGAAAATCATTTGCTAATATTCATGGATCTGGTTTGGGGCAATTAAGTTTCAGGCATGCTAAAATGTTGATGATGATTCAGTTGGGACAAAGAATAAAAGACCCCTATGTTTGTGCAGGAACCCAAGCTGAATGTAAATGTTTTGTGTGTCTACTGTTGGAACATTATGTCTACCCCTAGAATGCTTTTTTCAGCATTCTCATTTTTTTCTTCTAAAAATCATTTCATCTTTCAGGAATAGGAAAAGTTACCAGCAAATGTGCTAAGTGTGATAGTTATATATTTACATGGACAATATGTTTTCTTGGCATTAGATGAATTAATAATTGTGACTTGCTTAAAGGTGTATTAGCAATATGATTGACTTTTCAAGAAAAAGAGTAGAGTTAAAATATAAATGTACTCATAAAGTATATCTGTAAGAGAAAGGAAAACAATCTATGCCCACACAAATTGGTCCTCAGTTTATATCCATTCATAATTATTTATAAGCAGAGATTACTTATTAGTGAAATTATGGATTTGTAAGGTTCTTTTGACTATTTGGGCAGAGCCTGTTGAAAACAGCAGCTTTTCCCAACTTGGTGTTTTCAGATTTATTAGGACTGCAACTCCCAGAATATATCATATAATCAGCATGAGCACAACTAGAGGTTTCAGATATTAAAGTTGCAATACATATGAAGACTGCCAAATGGAGAAATACTGGCAGAGAATTTGTGTGCAGGTTCGGTTCAGAATTTACACTGAAAGTTAATAAAGCCTTTGCAATTGTATTCTTTGTACTGGGTGGGTCACCTGAACACAACTACAAAACTATTTCAAATGTGATTATTTGAGAGGTATGATTTATCAAAGGAATTGCTTCTTCTACATAAACAATTTCTTGAAAATAAAACTATTTGTTCCAGTGCTATAATCTGCATAAGTATTTTAATCACTAAATTATTTCTATTTCTCCTTTCCTTTCCTCTAGGTAATATTTGAAAATCATCTATTGTTTCTTTTATATTGCACAATACCTTTTCAAACAGAGTGAACTAACAAACAAAGAAAAAAAACAAAGTGTTTATAGATCTCTTTTTGTTGTTGTTTCTTTTAGAACCACCCACTCCTATTGCTCCTCCAGAACTTCTAGCAGTTGGAGCGACATACCTGTGGATCAAACCAAATGCCAACTCCATCATTGGTGATGGGCCCATCATCCTGAAAGAGGTAGAATACCGTACAACCAATGGAAATTGGGCCGAAACCCACATTGTGGATTCTCCCAATTACAAGTTATGGCATCTTGACCCTGATGTGGAATATGAGATCAGAGTGCTTCTTACCCGTCCTGGAGAAGGGGGTACTGGACCCCCTGGGCCTCCTCTCACAACAAGAACGAAATGTGCTGGTAAGCCATCATCCTTTATGAATTCTGTAAAAGGCATAGAAGTTGTTTTAGAATGAGGGGATGGAAAGAGATTTATGTCCTGTCTTTGCCTTTCTACTTTTTTTCTTTAATTGTCCAGTTATTGTCCAGCATAATTTTCCAGTTATTGGAAAATTTCATTTTCTCTATTATGCCATTGGCTGTATTGTATTCTTTAAGTTTGGGGTAGCTCTTAATACAAAAGCAAAGCAATATTCTAGATGAATGTTTTCTTGGATTCAGTTCTATTTATTTCATCTTCCTAAAGTGAGTTTTAAAAAAAGGAAAGAAAAAAAAAGAAGTGTGAATTTGTTACTCAAAACAGCCTGGACATCCTGCTTTGTACATAATAAATTAAGTCTTAAGCATTAAGTAATTGCATTTCTAAAAGATTTAATTTTCCCCATGCAAAATTAATATTAATAAATCACTTTAATAATATCAGAGTGGAAATATGCATCTTTTTCTCTGTTTAAGTATGCTGACTATTTAACTAAATAGTGTTTTATAATTCCTGATTAAAATTCCTGTTCTCAATGAGCTGCTTTAGACAACAAAGTGTGCCTTAAACACTATAATATATTAAAAAGACAAGAGCTTCTATCAGCCACCTAAAGTAGCACATGCAGTTAAAAAATAAGAAATTTCATTCAGTAAGTAAAGATATAATGGTCATACAGAGTCCTGGTAATCACCCTGTATCTGATCCGAGTGAAACTGATATTTTAAAAAAATCATTTGTAGTTAGTAAAAAGTTTGAGAAGTTGAGCATGCCTGAAGGATCAGAGCCATTACTTGCACTTTGCACACTGATTTTTAATTATATGAATAGAGAAAGCATCTGTAATTGACAGCACCTATTTTTTTCTCCTCCTGCCAAAAATGTCCATTCATTCAAGGTTTAAATTTCTAATTACTGTTATATAAAGTCCTAAGTATCCTTGAACTAGAATACCACATAAATCACCTTCCTGTTGTGTAGGTAGCCACACTTTGGACCTCCCATGACTCTTGTGTAGTGATATGGATATGGAGGGAATTCCCACCTACTCACTGTCCTGGCCAAATGAGATTGACAATCAGCATAAAGTCCTGTAGGATGAACAGGCTGATTAGAATAGTCTACTCAGATTCTTTATGCAGATTTTGTTTTCCTGGTGGGTGCTTAAAAGAGATTGTTTGGGCTTTTTTTGATTATGGAACTGAGGAAGTAGATAGTGTGATTTTCTGGCTGTCACTGGCAACTTCTTGCCTTGATTGACAAACCTCCTGGCTTCCTAAACACTTTTGTGGGGCTGTAACAAACTAGATCTGGGAAGTGTTTAATGCATCATTTTGGAAGGAGTAAGGCCAACTGCCTGCCTTCCCTGGAGCCATGTGTTTTTGATATCTATCATCTGGTCTCTATACTTTTATTCCATGAGAAGGCTATTGAAACTGAGGTCAATATGCAGCACTCAAGATTAACTCTTTCAAGTTAATGTTCAGACTCGGCATGGAATGGAGATGTCCTTGATTGTTTTTGTGGATGACCTCTGTCATGATTTAGAGAAGGATAGTGCAGACCTCTTAGTCCTTTTCAACCTCTCTACACTCTTTGAAATCACTAATCATGGTATCCTTCCAGATTTTCAGCAGGAGCTGGGATTAGAAGCATTGTTGTGAATGTTCATCAGTAGATGGTTTTTATTTGAGGGGCAGGGTTAGGGATAGGGAGAGTCTGACTCTCTTATGGCACCCTCTTATGGAGTGACATAGGTTTAGATAATTTTTCCCTGCTTTCTAAACTATACACAAAGATATTTGAAGATGTCATACATTGGATGAATTACATTATTAGCAACACGCTTATAATAATTTGATTGTACATTACTTTCCCAGTCTATTCAAGAGAGATGGTCAATGTCTTATTCCCATGTCCAGAAGCTGTGAGAGTGTTGACAGGACAAAGCAGGCTGAAGTTGAACCCAAGTGAGACAGAGTTGGTTTTTTATAGATTCTCTGCTACACAGTATGTCTCTTGATGTGGTGACATTGCCTCTGAAAGACCAAGTCCATGATTTGGGGGTCCCCCTGGAAATATAGCTATTTTTAAATAGGCTGGCAGATGCCATAGTTAGCTTGTGCTCACCCAATTTCATCTGGTACTTTAGTTGTGACCCTCTCAGAATCCAAGGACTTTGCAACAATAATTCATGCTCTCCCCACACCTGTCTGTTCTATTGCAATGCATAATGCATGGGGTTGCTTTTGAGGATCATCCAAAAGTTTTCAGGGTTTAGGGAATGTAATATAATGGCCAGAATGTAATGGTCCAAGTGCTGGCTGGTAGACCCCAGCATAAGCACATACTCTCTGTGATCTAGGCTCTGTATCAATTTCCTATTTGTTCCTAAATGTAAGTCAAATTGTTGTATTTATGGGGTGTGGCAGTGGGTTACTTGGAGGATCACCTCCTCCATCCCAGGAGGATCTATTTGGTATGCCACGAATGTTGATTGTCTTCTTATGGTCATTCATGACAAGGCCAATTATTTGGGGTTATACCTGCTCTTTGGAAAGCTCTCTCCCCAGTAACTGAGGAACACCTATAGTATATTCTCCATATTTTCAATTATATCTTTCCTGCTTGAATAGGAAACAGAAAAACAGAGACTAGTTTTTATTTCCTATCCATTTTTAATGTACCACTTTTACAATAACTTTTTATTTGATGTTGCTTCTTTTTTGAATTTGATTTCAGGGTCCTTTGAGATATTTTATGGGAGGCAGTAGATAAATGTTTTAATATTTATAAATAAAAATCAGCTGATGAAAGCTTCTGGTATCATGGGAAGCTTTTTCTTCTTTGAAAGTTTATTACTACTTGGGAAAGGGCAGCGTTAAGAATGCTTTGTAGATAAATAAATACAAGTTTGCCCCATTTAGAGACAGGGCTATTTTAGGGAATCTACACAATCACCACTCCAAAGGCTTCAGTACACATAAGAGAATGGAGTTGGATGACAGCTATCATTATCTATTACAATTAACTAGGTTTTCTGGGGAAGCTAGGTAGGTGGATAACTTGAAGTCTTAATCTTCATTGTAATGGGAAGGATAAATATGAAGGAATAATGCAGCCAGTAACAATTGTAATACTAAAGTGAAAAGCAAGGCAAAGGAAGAAAAGCTAATCGTTTAAGCATTTCCCCTTGCTATTAGGTTTGCAAGCTCTGTCTCTATTTTAAGGGCTGAAAAATACCCTTCAAAATGGCTGCCTTTCAGACATTCAATTGTGATGTGTTGGTGCCCTTCAAGTAATGTTCTGAGCTTCCTTTTTCCTGTCCCATCTTGGTGAATAGACTTTTTTTTCAAATGAAACTGTACCAGCATTAGCAATCATAAGATAGCTTTTGAGAAAGAGTTGCTCTAGTTGCTGCAGGTGGCATAAACAGTGAGAAATATGGATAATAACATCTCACGGAGCTCATTGTTGGGGATCATCATGCATGTCTCATTTCCTGTTTAACTTTTAAAAACTTATGGCTGCTGATATATATCACAGTCTGAAATCAAAATTGATTTTGTAAGGAATTGTTTCAAGTAACTTCAGTCACAATTTCTGATAATTATAGATTGTTATGGTAAGAGGTACTTGTGGCTCAGTCTTGGTTTTCAGCTACAGATTTTTTTAAAATACAGACGGCAGTACACCTGAGAGATTGTCATGTAACCAAAGAATGCTTTAATATGATGTTCTACATCTGCTGTGCTTCATGCAACTTCCATATTAGTGTCTGCCCCTTTTCTTTGTAGATGTTAATATAGCCTTGGAGCTATAAAAGAAAGATTTTCTAGCATTTTAATTGTGCCTAGTTCCAACTAAGAAGGAAATCCATGATTGAACATCTGTTTTACTGTGAAGGGAAGTATTTATGAGAACATTAACCACAGAAAAATTACACAGATTTCAAGTTGCATGCTGATGTTTCACTAAATAAAAAGTGAAGTTGCAAGTTATACTTGCAGTGTTTTCTGATTACTATGCCATCCATTTAGATTTTAGCTTTTTGAGCTAATCTGTTTTGCCTACCACGCTCTTTCCAGTCAAAAAGATAGGAGAAGGATTTCAGGAAATTGTATAGAACTTCTTCTATTACTTGGTACCTTAAAGCAGTAGAGTTTGAGTGTCATACAAGAGTAATAAACTGATTAATATATATCTTGGTATGAATAAGTAGACAATATCACTTTCTATTCTGCTTCAGATATGAAAATATTTTGACTTGGTTCTGAACTTTTAACATCCTATTTTCTGTCAGAAAATAGCATGTTTTATTCCTGTTCCTTCATATGGTGGGAAAGATGTGATAAAGTATAAACATTAAAATATGCTTTTACTCTCCCTAGATATTCCAATTTTCTTCATATCAAAGTAATGGTATGATCAGGAATAGTTCAATGTGAGTTAGAGAGATTGTGACATAACAATTTGTGATGGCTGGAATACTTGATCATAAAATGGATATGTTCTTTCAGAACATGACAAAAGCTTTTGATTTATTAATAGGAATAGGACTTCAGAGTTAATATTGATTATGAAAATTATTGCCTTACAAAATGATGTTTTATATTAGCAGTGTGTATTTTTATTTATTATTAAATTGACATATTAGTTATAATGTTTTTGTAAGATAAAAGTTTTCTGAATCCTTTGATATTCACAAACTATATTCAAAGATAAAAAGATAACCTTTATTGTCATTTTTTTACTGTGGGCACAACAACACACATCAAAAATGAAATTTAGTTGCCCACTCTCAAAGTGAAACACATACATAACACACACCTAAACATACTATGTACAACATATGTATAGACCCACACCCCTACATATACATAGCAAATAAATATTAAATACTGTCCACTTTGAATATATAATGGAAGAAGGAAGCTTGAGAATTCACAAGGTTAATGCTGTATGGAATAAAACTATGGCT